TTTTTTTTTTTTTTTTTTAAGAATTATTTTATTTAACTTGTTTATTTATTTGTTTGTTTTTAACTTGACCAGAGAGGGAGAGAGTGAAAGAGACAGAGAGAGAAAGTGAAAAAACAAGCTGCCGGGTCTGGGACTTGAACCATTATCAGTCATGTGGGAGTCCAGTGCCCCAGCCACAATGCCACTTGCCCTCCTCCCCTCCACATGAGTTTTAAACCACTGGGTCCAAGACTTGAACTGTGGTCAACTACATGGGAGTCCAGTGACACAATCATTATGCCTTCTGCTGGTCCCCAAGGCTCTCTCTCTTTTTTTTTTTTTTTTAAAGTTTTATTATTTCTTTCCTTCTTGGGTGTGTGTAAGAGAGAAAAAGAAACAGGGATCCACAACAGGGTCCTAGGACCCATGACCCTACCCTGCCCATAGCCCTGCAGCCAGTCAGGTCCGAGGAAAGCTCATGGGCACACTCAGCTCAGGTAGATCTAGGATTTGAACCCTGGAACCTCCCCATGACTCCAACTTCATGTAGCAGAATTTGCATGCACCACCCCTGCCAGGCCTCTCCATTTTCATAAAATCTTACCATGACTATAGACTTTTGGATACAGGGACAGGTAGATTTTAGTAAGGAGAATTCTATTATTCTAGGAAAAGTCTCAGATGAGCCAATGTATATGAATTCAGGGTCATCAAGCTTTATTTTTCATGGGAATCTGGTTTTTTTTTCTTTCTTGCTTGTTTAAGGTTTTAATGTCCGTCTGAGTGGCCAAGATGTTGGCCGTGGAACTTTTAGTCAAAGGCATGCAATGGTGGTTTGCCAGGAGACCGATGACACCTATATCCCACTGAACCATATGGACCCCAATCAGAAGGGGTTTCTAGAGGTAGGCTGTTCTGATGTCTATTATAAAATCCAGGTGCTGAGTATTACAGGTGTAGGATTCTTAAAGCAACTAGAAACAGATGTTGGCAGCTTTGGATTAAATACTTTTTAGATAAAAAGATGCTAAGTAGGTAGACTAAGTAGGACTGTGACGGAGTAGAGCGCAGACTGGAGCTATTTTACTCTGGCTGCTTATCTGTAATGATGTAAATGTCAAAAGAATATGTATTTTTGTCAATTCAGATTGATATTATAATCTGCATCTTGTAATGCATTAGTTAGTCAGAGACGTAGATAATCCAACATTTCTTGTCTGCTAAAAAAAATCACTTCCTCACAGTTATTTATTTTTTTAAGGTTTTTGCCATAGGAAATGTGTGTTTGTTAAAGAGAGAGAGATAGAGAGAGGGAGACAGAGACACAGAGAGAGGAAAAATGAGAAATCACTCCCCAAAGAAATGTCCATGCTGCAGTCTTTTCTCCTTCAATCTCCTCTCAGGATTTTGGGTACATATGCATACACACCCAGCGTGACCCTCAAGCTACCAGGTCTGGGATTTGAACCCCATGCACCATGTAGAAGTCCAGCACATTAACCATCACTCCACCTGCTGGCCACTCTCAAGGTTGTCTTATTTTATAAGGTTTGGTGGCTTAATGAATGTATTTTA